GCCTTTAGCTTTGATGTGTCATTGTTTCTATAAGCTTCTGCAAAGTCACAAGATTTATTTCTATCCAGTGCATACATTTTCACCAACATTTTGAATTGATGATGGTGAGTCTGACCTTCTCCAGAACATCCCAAAGATTCTCGATGGACTCTGTGGAGCCAATCCATGTCTCATGCTCCCTGAACCACTCTTTCACAATAAGAGCCCCATGAATCCTGGCATTGTCATCTTTATATGTCCGTATGATCAGGGCCCACATCATAGACCTGACCACCTGCAGACCCCACATCATAGACCTAACCACCTGTAGACCCCACATCATAGAACTGACCACCTGTAGAACCCACATCATAGACCTGACCACCTGCAGACCCCACATCATAGACCTGACCACCTGTAGACCCCACATCATAGACCTGACCACCTGTAGATACCCCACATCATAGACCTGACCACCTGTAGAGACCCCACATCATAGACCTGACCACCTGTAGATCCCACATCATAGACCTGACCACCTGTAGACCCCACATCATAGACCTGACCACTTGTAGACCCCACATCATAGACCTGACCACCTGTAGACCCCACATCATAGACCTGACCACCTGCAGAGACCCCAAATTATAGACCTGACCACTTGTAGAGACCCCACGTCATAGACCTGACCACCTGTAGACCCCACATCATAGACTTGACCACCTGTAGACCCCACACCATAGGCCTGACCAACTGTAGACCCCACACCATAGACTTGACCACCTGTAGACCCCACATCATAGACTTGACCACCTGTAGACCCCACATCATAGACCTGACCAACTGTAGACCCCACATCAAGACCTGACCACCTGTAGACCCCATATCATAGACCTGACCAACTGTAGATCCCATATCATAGACCCGACCACCTGTAGACCCCATATCATAGACCTGACCAACTGTAGACCCCACATCATAGACCTGACCAACTGTAGACCCCACACCATAGACCTGACCAACTGTAGACCCCACACCATAGACCTGACCACCTGTAGACCCCACATCATAGACCTGACCAACTGTGGACCCCACATCATAGATCTGACCACCTGTAGACCCCACACCATAGCCTTGCCCCCACAGGCTGTACAATCAACACTAGGCTTGATGGGGCCATCACTTCACCTGCCTCTCTTCTTACCCTGATGAGCCCATCACTCTGGAACAAGATAAACCTGGACTCATCAGACCACATGATCTTCTTCCATTGTTCCAGAGTCCAATCTTTAAGCTCCCTGGCAAACTGAAGCTTTTTCTTCCTCTTAGCCAATGTTTTGACCCTTCTCAATCAGACATCTTTTCCACGACCACGGGATGTGTTTTTTGANCTGTAGACCCCACATCATAGACCTGACCACCTGTAGACCCCACATCATAGACCTGACCACCTGTAGAGCCCACATCATAGACCTGAGTTGGATCCAGGTGGCAACATGTTTTTTCTGGGCTGTATATGATAAATCACTATTAATATTAGGTGATTAGGATGCTGTGCAGCAGCAGGCGGATCTGAGTCCAGAATTCTCAGTTTTAATCTCTTTTGGAGCTTTTCTGTGTGCCTGGGAGTGTAGATGTTTGTCTCTTTGTCTGTGCCCCTGATGGACTAGAGACCTGTCCAGGGTGTCCACTGTCTTCAACCAAAAGCAGTTAAGACAGTCATCAAGCTTTACTTGTATCGATTCATCATCAAGCAACAACTAAATAATGAAGTTTTCACCTGAGATTGTTTTAATGATGATCATAATAAATCTAACTTCTTTATAAATGACCATGAAAAAAAACTAAACACGTAAATAATATCCACACTGTTTGGAACAGTGTTTGGGTCAGAAACTTGCGCTGGAAAGCAGTCTTTTTATGCAAGCAAACGATTTAAGCAATGTAGTTAAGAACAAACTTTATTTTGAGGGGGAAAATGAAGAAAATAATACATTTCCTCATCTGTCAGCATTTTCTCCAAAGCGACCTGTCAGCAGCGCAGCAACAAACTGCAGCTTTGTTTGGACAGAAAAAATAATGACAAAGTCCACGCAATTATTTGTCAATTCTGTCAGCAAAAGTTATCTGCTCTGGGTCAAATATAGATGCGCATTTGGACCGGACATGTAAAGAACCATGGGCTCCTTTATTTTTTTATTTCCTCTCCACAACCCGTCAGCGTGCATCTGGAGATCAGATGGTTGCATGCAGGTTTGGGCCAGAGATGTGGCACAAAATACAAAATTCTTATTTTATTTTTAAGCTGATTTGGTCAACCTGGATAGGATCAGATCAGAGCCAAAACATTTTTTGCACGTGTCAGGCAGGTTTATGATCATAGAGCCCGACCCTGCAGAGCTGGAGAATTTGCGTAAACTCTCCGACTGTTCTCCACACAGGTTGTACTGGTCCCCATTTAAATTATTTATTAACTTATTTTCAAGAGCTTGTTCTCATTTTCACATCATTGTACAAGTTATGAACTGTACTGCCTTTTGGAGAATACTTCACCAACATAAAGCTCAAGTAGATAAACTCCAGCCTCTAGCTTGCGAGCGTGCTGAGCGCTGTGCAACAAAACTGAGCCATGTGGACCTGATGACTTATAAACAGATTTAGTCCTGATCTTAATGCCGTCGGTTTTGTCTGTGCCTCTGTCTGTATCTAGACAGAGAGACATCCATCAAAGGCATTGGGTGCAGCCTATAAATGTCCATGGGACTGGCTGATGGGCAGGGCCGTAAAGTGGGGGGGGCCAATGGCCCCCTGGCCCCCCATATTCCGGCGCCGGTGCCATACTGGAACCGAGTTTCGGTACCCAACCCTAGTCCCCGCAAGCAACAGGATGTCCGCAGGCACCATGTTGGTGACTCTTGCTCTACACACAAGCACACAAACAAACTTAATGTCTTAAGGTGCTATAAATTACTGAGCTGCAACTAGCTGACAAACTGCATTCATGTGGCAGTCTCTAGAATGCCTTGAAACATTTGCAATAGGGATACAAACCATTAATTGACTTACGATTAATTGTCAAATAATGCTTTAGTAGATTAAAATTTCTTCCATTCGATTAATTGAAAACATCCGTTTAAACCTTATTTCAGTGTAGTTTTGACTTCATCCAGTAGATGAAGCTGCTGCTCTCAGCCTGGCCTACTCTACCCCGGGCACTAAGTTGAGCAGAGCAGAGAGCCGGCCGCCTCCATGTGGGCGGCATCATAAATAAACGCGCAAATGTTTAGTTTTATTTGTGACACAACAATAATAATGAACTAAACCAAACTGGGAGGAAAAGTACCAAAGGTTGTACCAGACTATCCAGCAATATGATGCTAAAGACAAGAGAGCAGGACAACAGAGAACGGTAAGCTAACTGTGGCTAACGTTAGCTTCTTCTTGTAGAGTTTAACGCAGAAAGAACAAAACTAAACTAAACAAAAAAATTAGTCYCTACAAATAATTACCATGAAGTTAATCTCATCTGTGTGACATTACCCGGCCAGTGAACAAATCAAATGAACAGTAACTGACGTCAAATCATGGCAGCAGCATGAACCACAGGGAAATGTAAACAAACACAGTTCCTGTACTCATTTGTATGTTCACCCCTCTCAGGTCATGTTTGTAGTTTGTTTTTGAGTAAATCTTTAGATTAAAATGTTATCCTGTGTTTAAATGTCAGTTTTACATTTCTCTGTTCAAGGTGGATTAAATTTAACTTTTTTTCTTTCCTTTTTTTTCCAACTAGCAACCTAACAGATTCCTGTTTTGTTATATTTTATTAATATGTCCAAGTTTAATAATATGTGAGAAATCTACAATTTTGTTTATTCAGTCAGTGTTTAATACAGCTGGCACAATTTTTTTATAAAATATAATACTGTACTTATTTTTTAAATTTAGCAAGTAAAAATGAGCCCTTCATGTCATAGAGTCTTGATTCAAGAGAAATGTCAGGTTTGTAGGAAAATGGCCGCTTATCAATTAATCGTTAGTCCATCGATAAGATCAATCAAGTTCAGATTAATCAAGTTTGAGCCAAATCTCATCTGCCAAACAGCTTTTGTTGTTGCTAAAGACTCTTGTTTTGAGCTTCTGGTGCCCCCAGGTGATGATATAAGATTTATTGTCAAAAATCATTGTTACAACAAAGAAATAACCTACCAAGCACTAATTTCTGTACTTTTTCTTCTAAGTTTATGTAGAATATAGACATACATTTAGGCACATACATATACATACTGTATGTCATGAATTTTAAAGCATAAAAGTAAAGTTGCACCAATAGAAGAACACTGAGGAAAATCAGACAATCAAACAAATTTAACAGCTCAACTGTCAAAGAATATATGAAACTTTTTTGACAAAGTCAGTTTACACTATTGCACTAGAAGAAACACTAATTAAACTGCACACCAATAGAATACTAAAAAAAAAAATCTGTTTATTTTGTTGGCTATATTTATAAATTATTGAAATGTGCTTTGTTTGAGATGATTGGTGATTTAATGAACTATTAGGTGCTGCCCAGCAAGGAAGACAACAACAGTTTTTTTATGAACTATTTAAAAAAAAAAGCTCCACAGCCTCAAAGAGATGTTTATTCTTGCTGGTGATGTGTGTCAATAACACTCATCTGTAAAACAATTCAGAGTGATGATCTTTTTATAAACATTGTGGCGAGCCTCAGGAGGAAAATACTGGACCTCATTGGTTTCCTTTGATGCTTTCTCAGCGTTTTTTTTCCTCATCTGTCTGCGTATTAATTTTAAATGTAATAAATATGAATTGTATTTATATATGTACAAAAATGTGTCAAATATCTAAATACAGGGTTCCCACACCTTGGTCAACATCAAATTCAAGGACCTTTCAAGAACTTTCCAGTACCAATTTTCTCAAATTCAAGAACTACGCACCATGGCAATTACCTCCTGCTACCACAGAATGTTACCAATAAACAGGTTTAATATCATGTAAATTCAATGAAAAACTGAACAACATAGAAGTTGTTGAGTCAGAATCAATGAAAGAAAGTGGATTAAATGTTTACCCTCTGCTCTGATTGGGTAAAACTGACTATGGTTCACGTTAGTTGTTGAAAGCCACGCCAGTTTACCGTAATCCTGAGTTATCCACCACAACAAATGTAAGTTTTTTTTCTTTCTTTCTTTCTTTCTTTCTATCTATCTATCATCTATCTATCTATCTATCTATCTATCATCTATCTATCTATCTATCTATCTATCTATCTATCTATCTATCTATCTATTTACAGATTATTATTATTATTTTAGTAATTACCGTTATTTAACCAGGCACGTCCCGTTGAGATGGCAGATCTCTTTTTCAAGGGAGGCCTGGGCCTGAAGGCAACCTACACGTTTTTGAGGGCTGGGAGAAACCAGAGTACCCGGAGAAAACCCACGCAAGCACGAGGAGAACATGCAGACTCCACACAGAAAGACCCCAGGTCCGAACCGTGTGAGACGTCGTGCTGCCGTGATGAAAATCAATTGTGTGAATAGAGAACTTCAATCCCCAAAAAACATTCAAGGACAAGTGTAATTTTTGGCTGTTTTCACAAACTTTCCAGGGCCTTGAAATAATTTTTTTCAAATTCACAAACTTTCAAGGATTTCAAGGACCCGTGGGAACTCTGTAAATAAAGGAATTTTTAAAAATAAATTATAATAAAGAGCAAAGGAGAGAATCCCCACCAGGCGGCCCCTCCCACTCTTTTAGTCTGTGTCAATCAGCAGCGAGAAACATGCACTCTGTCATGGAAAGAGAGAAAGAAACAAACTACAATGAAATAATTAGTTATATTTATCCAGGGCTCTGTACTATAAACTAATGTACCATTTAACCTCGACAGTTTTGAATCATTTTTTTAAATCACCGGATTCTCTTATTTTCTGTCCAGACGGACTTTGGATTGACAGCCTGCCTGTTCTGAGACGAGGGAATCCCCCTGCGACCCCCTTCCTCCCCCTTTTCAGTCTGTCGGTCAGCTGCAAGCCAGAACTGTGGCCGAGTTGTAAAAAGTGGTTGAAGCGAGCTCTGGCACTCTGCAGTTTTATAATGATAATGAACTAATGACATTAGTGTGACCTGGAACAACAAACACACGTCTGTAAAGGCTGCTGGTGTTGTGGAAAAAGTAGGTGTCCTCAAAAAACAAGTTTCCCCACCAGAGAGGGCGCTCACGAGTAGGCATTACCAAATTACAGTAATCCATTTCTCCACCAGAAGATGGCCCAAATCTCATGTGAAGTCTCTGAGTTTTGTGTTGGCGCCCCCTGGTGGACTGTGTGTAAAATTATCTGATATCCTCCTAAACGCCAGCATTCATATGATGCTTCTACAAAACTCAAAACCATAGTTTGCTGATACATATGTTGTTAAAATAAAAAGATCATCATTTTACTGATTTGTATAAAGACTGCAAAGGCAGAAAAATCCTGAAGTCTGTATGAAATTAGAGGTAGCTTGAGGATTTATTTTTTTATGCTTTTTAAGCTCAAAAAAGGAGGGGTCGTATTATACATAAATAAATAGGGTAATGTCTAAAATAAAAATGATTTAATATTAATTTAATGTAAATGTTTATTTACCAACGTTTGTTGAAAACTAAAACAAAGTTTTGGTGAGTGGATAATTGCTCTCACCTACTGTACTTTAAAATCTTTGTGTTTAAGAGTTTGCAGCACCTGTGTGTGTTCTTGCGTGCCTCTGCAGCTCATCACTGCGAGTAAAACGTTTCCCACAGAAAACCCAGTTGCAGACAAAGGGCCTCTCTCCAGTGTGCAACCGGACGTGCGCTCTGAGTAGCGATGTTTTCCTGAATGTTTTCTCGCAGCCTGGAACGTGGCAGATATGTTTCCTTTTCCCCACCTCTCCAGGCCTACAAAGTAAACAGACACACAAACACGCTCTGTGTAAAAAAGGGTTTTCAGATTGAAACTGAGCATTATTTAAAATATGGAGATAAATTTGCTAGAATTAACAATAAAAAGGCTATACTATGTTTTCTGAGATTTTAGATGCCCAATAATTGGTGACATGAAAACAAATCTTGAAAGACAACAAACAAACAAACAAACACAACTAAAGAGCTTTGTACGTGCACATATTCACTTTCTTTGTTTTTAACACCAGATTTATGTACTGGTCTTGCCAAAACCTTTAGATGTCAAATAAATGATATAATTTAATCCAGCTATGTATGATCTTTTAGTGATAAGTCAATCAATCACATTTATTTCACCACATGCACAGGGACCTGTACACAGGGTTATTTTCCTGGTTGCAGTGCAAGAGAAAAAAAGTTATTAAGAGGGGAAAATGATTTTTGTGTCTGTGGTTTTTTTCTTCTTACAGCACAGAACCATTGGCCAGAGAGCATTTTTTTAATTTTATGTTTTTTTAATTATTATGCCAGGTGAGTTAAGTCCTCACAGTTCTCAAATATTTGTATGAGTTCACAATTTCTATTTTTTTTTTCCATGAACAGAACTGGGTTTGGCCTAGGGATCTGAGCCAATATCGATATCAGGCTAACTGAACTTTTCACCTCAACATGACTGTTTAAAAGTAGAGACTTCGAACTATACATGGGTTTTTAAATTGTGTTGATAGTCCTCGTAAAACCAGAGGTACGATCAAAAATATCTACTATTTTTTTTCCTGAAAATGTCATTCTGAAACACGTTGCTGCTGCAGCGTGAGGTAACTGGAAACACGAGCAGACTTGTGGAGAAAACACTCCAGGTCCCCATCAGTCTCAGTCATCTTTTGAGCCGAACAAACAAACATTTCCTCCTTTCTGACTGCGGCAATAAAGTTTTTGTCAAGTGACAAAAATGCTGCAGCAGGAGGAAGAAAAACATGCTGATAATAGCTGCGTTTCCATCGCAAATGGATGGAAATGTGCACAAAACTTTGTCGATATTCTGTTAATGTCGAAAGAACAGTTTCGCAACTGCTGTGTTTCCGTTAAGTAAGAAATGCTATTAAAGTCACGTGTGAATACGTTTGTTCTCATGATAAGTCATTACAAACATGGCGGCAATGGATGTAAAAACATAGCATGTTGCTACCACGACACTAGCGCTCATCATCAGAGGGGACGTCGGCGTCTTTTATCGAGGCTTTCCAGAGACAAGTCCCTACTTGGGAGCGGCTACATACAGTATGCTGTGTTTTTGGGAAATAGTAGTCAGTGAGTTTACTATTTTATACTACTTCTGTGATAT